GTGCGAGACTAGATGTGAACCACTCAATCCGCGAACATCACCTGGCTGTGTCTCCACAGGCCGTCCCCCCCCCCCTCCAACCCTGGACGCTTCGACACAGCACTCTCGCTGAGCCTTCCTCATCCCGACCGCGACCGACTTCTCCTGTCAATCAATCACCTCCCCTCCAATTTATCACCACCACCAAAACACCACCACGTTCGACGCGATTACGACCCTTCGACAGCCTGACAAATTGCCCTATCGATCCTCATTGTCGCTCCTGGCTATGACGGATGCCGGTGCCGGCCCCGGTGCCAGCCCTTTTATCGCTGGCACAGACATGTCTGCAACGGGCGATTTCAGCGATCTCTTCGATTACGACGACGACACAATAGCCGCCGCCGCCGCCGTCACGAGCCCTTTTCACCAGAGCCTCGATTTATCCAAAGATCAATCGCTCAACGGCTTCAATCCACAAGCCCTGCACAACGCCACGACGGCATCCTCGACACTCGGCGCCCGCGACATTGCTGCCGCCGAATCTCCTGATTCGTTGAACGATTCTTTTCGCGACTCCTCCTCCGACTCGGGCTCTTCGAAAAGGACAGGCAGCTCAGCATCCGGAAAGACTGCTCTCACCGCCGGCGACATTATGATGACCGATGGAAATGATATCAAAAAGGAGTGGAACCCAACTTCCTTTTCCAAAGGCTCTGACGATGGCACGTTCGTCTTTGGCGCCAACGAGCCCTCGTCTGTCATGGGCGACACCTTCGACCTACCCACCGACGACAACTTCATGAACGATTCTTTCGACTTTGAAAGTGCGTCGAGCAGCCCCGAGGCAGCCAACAATGCCGCAATGAACCTTGCGTCCCCCGACATGCCCACCATGACGGCACACATTCCTCACAACAGCCAAACCCCCAGCAAATCCAAAAGCCAGGCACCCAGGAAAAAATCTGTGAGTTGAATTGCGCTGTTGATGTGTTTTTGCGCTGTGTGGCGTGGCCGGCATCGCCAATAGTCGGGCAGAGATCTCTCCGTTGACAGTCCAATCACTCTACGAACGTTAAGCCTAACCAATCGCTAGCAATTCCCCCTCACACAACCCATGCATGGGCTGCACATGTCTGCTTCCCGCGAGGTATCTCCTCTGTCACAAAACGTCGCCAGCCAGCAAGCCTCGCCTTCAAACTTTTTCAATAACTCCCCCTCGCCAACCAACCAGCCCGACTTCTCTAATCATGTCGCAGCCGCCGTCGGTCACCCATTCTGGCCCCAAGTCGATGGCGGCCATGCGGCCATGCCCCCGGGTTTCCCGATGATGCAACAGTTCCACCCTCAGCTGATGCAGCAGATGTTGTTTGCTCAAGGAGGCTTCAACCCCATGCCGTACCACTGCAAGCTCATTATTCACCCAACACCGACCAAGTCGCGAGTTGAGACGCAGATCCCTATCAAGATGACTCTTCTCGGAGCGCCACCAGGTGTCAAGCGGCTGCATCTGCCCACGCACACAATCTCGAAGCCGAAATTGCTGGCCAAATCTCCGTCTGAACGATCGCCCGATATGCTTGAGCTCTACACTCAATTGGTCTGCACCAGCGCCATGCTCGTCGGAGACAACAAGCAACGGGCATTCAAGCGGGCTGCTGCCGCCTCTCATCCACATCCTTCGCTCAACGAAAGATCTGCCAGCGAAGACAGTAATGAGGACGACAAGCCACAGAACGGTGGCGAGGTGCGCATCTGCCAGGGATGCATCACGCGAGAGCGCAAGCGTGCCGGACGAAAGAAGATTAAGAAGGTGGAAGAAGAGGAAATGTGGAAGAAAGATGAGAACCGACGAGTGATCGTCTTCAACACAAATGAGATCAAGGAATGGCAACCGCCTAGTGCCACCCCTGCAGACCCCGCGGTTGCAGGCCCGCCAGAACCTCAGTATCCTGCAGGAGCCCTGCAGGTAGACGCTCCGATGCGTATCGCCTGCTATTGTCGACATCACGCCGAGAAGATGGGATTCCGGGTTGTCTTCACTATCAAAGACTGGCAGGATCGTGTCGTGGCGCAGGAGATGTCTCATTCCATCATGATTACGGATGACCACAAGACACATCCGGTACCGCAGACCCTCAACGCCATCGGTTCTCAGGGTGAGGAGAACTCGGTTGTGCCAATGGTGAACGCCCCGCTCGAAACAAGCCCCCTGACTACGCCTGCTCCCTTCAGGGTATCGCAGTCGAGTTCAGACCTGCAAAGTTTGAGGCGGAATGGTTCAGCTCAATTACCTGGGCCTCCTCCACTTCCTGTGCCCCCACCAGTCGTTAAACATCAGACGCCGCCGGCTTCCGCGCCCAGCGTCCCTGCCCTGTCAAGACCTGCATCTCCGTCCTTGTCCAACATGGGACCTGCCTCGAAGAAGCGAAAGGCGAGCGGGCCCCGAGTGCCGATGGAAATGGCGATGACAAGACTCGACACCTCGCCCCCACCGGGGACACAACCATCTGCAAGCCAGGCGCCAGCCACTGCGTCAGCTTCTACCTCACCCTTCACACCCAACCTGGGACTCAACCTCCAGATGCCTGACAATATGTTCGCACAAGCCGGCGCCGTGCAGAACGTCCCCCCGCCTTTCGCCACCGGCCCAACGACGCCCAACAACATCAACGATCAAGCCATGTTTGGCAACGCCGCGCGATCGGCCAGCATGGACAACCTTGCCATGACCATGTTCTCTGCGCCCACCTCGGCGCACCCCAGCCGCGCGCCGAGTCCCAATTCCCTGAGGCAAAGCCTCGGTGGTGTGCCGCAAACACCTATGGCCCATGGCCTCATCAACGGCATGACCTTCCTTCCCGGCGGTCAGAGCCAAAGCCGTCCACAACCGACCATCCATAAGATCATTCCCGGGGAGGGGCCCAAGATGGGTGGTATCGAAGTGACCATTCTTGGTGGTGGATTCTTCCAAGGGCTGGACGTGTACTTTGGCGAGCACAAGGCGACGACGACAACCTTCTGGGGCGAGTCCTCATTGGTCTGTCTGTTGCCTCCGGCGTCGAGGCCTGGCATTGTTCCTGTTTCCCTCAAGCAATCCCACGCACAGTCGCCGCCGTTCAAGCCGAACCCGAATCAGGTCTTCCGATACACCGACGACGAAGAAGCACAGCTCGCCAGGATGATGATTGGCATGATCTCACAAAAGATGACGGGCCAACTTCTGGACGTGAGGGAGCTGGCGCAACGAATCATGGGCCCCCAGGACATGGATTGGTCCAGCATGGGCGGCGGATCCTCTTCAGGCGGCGGTTTCGGTGGTGGCAACACGTATAGCACGAGTACTGAGTCGCAGCTGCTGAAGTGCCTGGAACTGATTGACCTCGATGACAGTGCCAGGATGCCTCGTCTCGATCTCAGGAGGAATACGGGCCAGGCCATGCTTCATTTCGGATGCTCGCTTGGTTACCACCGCTTTGTTG